TTCCGAGGCCCCGCTGTCTGGCGGGACCGCCTTTGCGGGCAGCGCTGCTGGGCTTCCCTTTTTTTATCGCTTCTGAGGCTCTGGGTGACCTGCTGCCTTCTTATGCCCCGAGTTCTCCATTTGCCCCACTTCTGGCATTTAATTATTATTATTTTTTAAATATATCTTTATTGATTTCAGAGAGAGGAAGGAAGAGGGAGAGAGAGAGAAACATCAATGATGAGAGAGGCATTGATCAGCTGCCTCCTGCACGCCCCCGACTGGGGATGGAGCCCCCCACCCGGGCATGTGCCCTGACCGGGAATCGAACCTGGATCCCCTGGATCCTAGGTCGACGCTCAACTGCTGCGCCACCCGGCCGGGCTGGCATTTAATTTTGATGTCTTCCTTAAAAGGTAGCCCCTGTCCTTTGGAGCCCAAGCCTTCCTGGTGCCTGCTGTGTCCTTGTCCCCACTGGCCATCCATATTCATGTGTCCTTATGTTGCAGACGTACCTGGAAAAGCGTCCTTGTTTTACAACTGATTTCTCCATGATTGTCCTCTTTTTCGTTTGTGATTCGATTCCCCCCCGTGGTCGACAGCCATGGCCTGTGTTTCTTCACCGCCTGCTGCTACTGTCTGTCCAGCCCCGTGCCGCCTGGCATCCTGTGCCAGGAGCGGGCTCTTACATGCCATCGCTTTTCTAGCCCCGCTGGCGGCCCCCCTTCTACCTTGATCTCCTTGGCAGGCGGGTAGCATTAAAGCCAGTGTCTGAGGAGCTGGGCAAGGTTGGTTCACCATTTCTTCTCTGAAAACTTCAAAGCCACTGTGTGACCCGGCACTGTGGGCACTACTTTTTGCTTTTAACTTTTTTGTGGGGGTGGGGCCGGGGCAGGGGAGAAGCAGAGGGGGTGTTGAAGATGGTGGCAAAATCCCCGGTTTGCTGAGGTTTATATCAAGGCAGGTTTCGTTTGTATTTGGATAGCATGGGCTTCCTCAGGGTGTTGCTGTAGGTTTTAAATTCCCAAGCAATAAAGTCGTGCAGCAGTCTTGACTTGGGTGGTGTTTGAGTCCAACATTATTATTTTTTAAAGTTTTATTTTTTCCTCTTAAGAGCATGATTTTCTGTAGCACATGCAATGGGACAGTATTAGAACTTACCAGAAATCTGTTAAAAACTGAAACTCATATGAAATAGACTCTTTTGGTGACAGAATGAAAAACTCATGATATTTTTCAAGAAATTAGCTGAATTTGAGAAAAATAAGATTGCAGCATGTGTACTAATTGTGGTCTAGCAGGGTTGTGTTCAGAATCTGGATTTTTGTAGCTCTTGGATTTTGTGTTTGTTGGAAAATCCCAACCCTGCGTGTTTTGGAGATGTACTGTGCTGTTCACCACCAAGCGCTGACTTGAAAACTCTGCTAGGCAATCTTTGAGAAGGCATTAAACTCAATGAAAATTATACGAAAAATAATGCATTTCATATGATTATATCAGATTATATTTCTTGATTAGTGAAAACTTAAATGTGCCAATCACAGATGTCTGTTGTTTTATATTGAGGTTCACTGGTTGCCAAAGGGAAATATGCTAATCTGGGTATAAGAGAACAGAAGGTAATTATTTCAACATTTTAAAACGATAACATCTGTAATAGAGTCAGCAATTAAAAAACACACACACGGTAACTTTCAATAGATCTTGTCATGGCAGATCTATTTGCAGCCTAGAATATATTTGTCGTGAAGCCTTGAGGTCAAGACAGATCTGCCTCCTGAGGAAGGAGCAGTGGGAGTGGGGATTGGTTTCTGTTTCCTATAGGGCTGCACATGGAAACAGGTGGGCGTAGGAGGTCGCGCCAGTGCTGTGTGGGGGCCAGCCCTACCAGCTCATAAGAAATGATCGTTACGTTTTCCAGGATTTTGCAAGTTGGCTGCTAAATGTAGCTACTATTAAAAATTAAATTATGTAGACTTACAATTAAAAAAATTATATTAAAAACAAAAGTAATAAATACTCAACAGTTATCATTTCCAAATTATTTTACTATTATCTATGCTTTTAATGTTACTTAAAATTACTTTGTATAGTGGAAATACTGCATAATGGTCTCCTACTCTGCATCTCTTCCTAACTCTGCATTTAGTGGAATCGTTTTAGAAGCTTGAGATTGGCTATAGTGGGAATATTTACACCATGAAAATCAGCCACTTCCCCCTAGTCTCTCATCCACTGGAAAGCTGGTGGTTAATCACTTACCTGCTCACCACTGGATCGTGCCCCAGAGAAGGTGGGAGATTGAGTGATGTGATTTCTTCCCTGAAACACTCTCAAGCCTTCAGTAAAGTTTGTGAACTTATATGTGGTGTTTTCTAAGGAAACCAGTGGAATGGCTAAGGCGAGGGTGGATTAGAAATAAGATGACAGATCAAGGTACATGATGCAGGAATAGAAAACTATTCTAGTCCACTAGAATAGACTATAAGAAATGGTGGGGATTTGGAAGGTCTTTATATATCAAGGGCTAAAATGTTGGGGTTTGTTTATGAGCCCCTAAATTATACTGTTTATAAAAGAAAATATTTTAAGGTATTATAATTTCATTAATCACTGTTATTCTTATCATCAGGAAGTGGAAATTCAATTGAACATATTGAAAGGTGTGCTATTTAAGAAAGTTAATGAGTTACAGACTGAGACAATGAAAGAAAAAGCTGTTGTATCAGAAATCGAAGGAACCCGTTCCTCTCTAAAGCACCTCAACCAACAGTTACATAAACTGGATTTTGAAACCTTGAAGCAGCAAGAAATTATGTACAGTCAGGTAGATGTTACTCTTATGAATATCTCTCATATTGATTTGTTGTAGTTGTGATGCTCAAGATACCTCAGTGTTCTGAGAAAACGAAGATTTCTAAGCAGCACTCTTGGAGGGATAGATATTGACGATGGGATATCATGCTAGGTCATTAGTAGGATGAGGGAGACTTAAATGCTATTTTTTCTTGATCTGAAATAAACAGGTAAGAGGATAGACAACTCTAGTGAGGGAGAACCATGCTTTAAAGGAACCTGGAGTGATTGAATGTAGAGTAAAACAAAACAAGGAGCTGGACATCTGAAACCTAAGAAAACTGTATGTTGATTCACAGTTGTGCAGACACAGGCTTTCCCATCCCACACCTATACTAATAGGTTAAAAACATTTTTTCAGTTTTTCCTTATTTCTTCTATTTATTTGTTCTGTCTCAATTAACTTTTTAAAAAAAATTTAAAAAATATATCTTTATTGATTTCAGAGACAGGAAAGGAGAGGGAGGGAGAGAGAGAAACATCAATGATGAGAGTCATTGATGGGCTGCCTCCTGCACGCCCCCTGCTGGGGATCGAGCCCGAAACTGGGCCATGTGCCCTGACTGGGAATCCAACCCCAATTGCCTGGATCCTAGGTCGATGCTCAAGTGCTGAGCCACACCTGCCAGGCTCAATTAATTTCTTAATGTCCTCCCCTCTACATCTTAATTTCCCCACTAATATATTTTTAGTTTCTCAAAATTACAGATGCCAAAGTATACTTTTAAAAATAACTCATTAGGAGTTTTGAGTCTTTTATGGCTAACAACTTATGACTATATCATTTTTTTGCATCCCTTAGAAAATGGACCCTCAAAATTTTATGTCCATGTATTTCCAGGGGATTTCCTGAGGTTCCATCGTGGCAGTATGATAAGTAGCTCCCTATATGACTTTGTTATATTTTCAGATTACTTATGTGTCACTATCATGTACCCTGGTTGCTGAAGAATAGGTTGCTGTTTCTCCCTTCAGGGTAAGGATAATTTTATCCTGTAAATTACTGAAGGCTTAAAGTGATTCCAGGAAATGGTGACGCCCAGGCCAACTCATAAGAAAGTCTTTACTGTGTCTTTATAGTTATAGAAATTGTTTTCACCATTTGTTTCTCCTCACTAACTTATTTTTTAAAATTGTAACAGGATTTTCACATTCAACAAGTGGAACGCCGAATGTCACGGTTAAAGGGAGAAATTAATTCAGAAGAAAAACAGGCTCTCGAAACAAAAGTTATTGAACTTAAAAAGACGTTGGAAGAGAAAAAAACTACATTTGGCATTTTGGAAGCACAGATCAAGAAGCTTCATGTAACTTATCCAAAACACTTTCTATGCTGCAAATATGCTAGTCACTAGTTAGTCTGTTTTAAGAGAACACGCTCCTAAGACTTGACTTTGGATAGATGGTTGCCAAGCTACCCCATATATCACAAACATAGGAGCTGATGTCCATATTCCTGTCCTGACTATGAAAATGTAACATTACCATCGATTGCTCACTTACTATATGCTAAATATATCACATGCCTTTAGTATTTTATTTCATTTAATCCTCATAAATAAGGGAGCTTGCGAGGAAGATATTATTACTTGTTTTACAAATTAAGTAACTTGTCCATGGTCACACAGCTACTATAGGGGGGGCTAGGATTTGATCCCTGATTCATGTGACTCAAAATGCTTTTAAATAGTACATGATTTAAAATATTGATCAATCTAGTTTTCTATTATGCATTTGCCATAATAACTTGATTGTCCTTTATGTATGAAATAACTTCTAAAAGCAGCTGCCCTTTTATGGGTCATCTATTGTTGTTATTCAAATATTTACTTAGTTACATATTTCAGGTAACGATTTTGTTAATAAGGTGAAAATATACTTAATCTTTAGGTATAGTAATATGTTTATGGTAATATAAAACCTATGTTAGGAAGCCTGTGTAACATAAAACCGATGGTAAAGTTTAATTGGAGAGCAAGAGTGGAGGATGAGTATGGACCTGAATGGAGGAGAAGACCAAAGGGTTTCACGGTTTCTTCAAACAGCTGGGAAGGCCTAGTGATGAACTGCCCTGAATTCTATTAGGGCTAACAAAGGAGAAAGGGAGCTATTAACTTTTTTCACATTAAAAAAAAAAATTTTACAATGATAAAATTTTGTTTTGGAGTAGTTTGTAGCCTGGTGAAATATATTTTTTAACTGTTTCCTTGGTTTAGTAGAAAAGAGCACGTTTTGGAATCAAAGAATTGGGTTTGAACGTCAAGGTTATACCATTGCTGTTTTAACTTTCCTGAGTCCTAATTTATTCATCTATTAAATGGAAAAAAAATTAATAATTTTATGGCATTTGGGAGAATTAGAAGCAATTTGCGTCATAACGGTGCTTTTTAGCAGGTACTCAGTAAATGGCATTGTTTTACTTATGCAGAGTATGGGCATACTAATGCTATAGAAGTATAGAAAGGCGACCTGTGTAGCCGAACGTGTTTCCTGACCCTGGCCTGAATCCTGTCTGCTTTGCTGTGTGGCGGTTGTTCTAGTGTTCCCTCTTTATCGACCCTGGGCTCTGTCCGTTATGCAATTGGCTGGTACTTCTGCATATTCTAACTCTAGTTTTACACAGAGAAAAATAAATTAATAGAAATGCAAGTGAATTTTTAAAGATATTAAAGCTAGTTATTCTTCTAATGAAGGTTGCTCTCATTAGTAGCATGGGGTTGTCAAGTCATTCTGCATTCCCTTTCCCATGCCACTCCGTCTTTTATTGTGCATAACAGAAACTACTTTCTTCTGGTTGAAATTCACCTTAAATTTAATTTTTTTTGTTCTGAAAGTTAATTTGATGAAATCTCATTTACGCAAAAAGTATTCCTCTTCTCAATGTCTTGCTACTTACTAGGTCTTGATTATTCAGAGACACACACGCAGTGAGAAAGGCAGAGGAGGGAAGGAGGGAGGGAGAGAGGAAGTGAGGAAGAAAAAGGCAGAGAGGGAAGAGAAATTGATCTTGGAGCTAAAAAGTTTTTGCTTTATGTACCCAGAGGGGACTCCCTAAGAGCACGAACCTTGTCCTGGCTTCAGGGTGGTAGGAGGGATACAAACTGGCATAAAGCTAGAAAACTAATATCTGTGCATATATGACCCATTATGCATCCTATGGAATTAGACCTTATTTAGCATTTTTCTCTCTAGCAATATGTGATTATATATGTAATAATAATAATAATAATAATAATAATAATGCATGAGCTTTTTATATATCAAACGCTGTGGGGCATACTCTTTGCCAGGAACTTCTTTGATTCTCACAACCTAAGGAAGTGTGGGTACTGTTATCATCTGATTCCAGAGCTTATACTGTTAACCAAGACCCTATGCTTTCTCACACTGTTAATGTTTTTACCTTCTGGGACTTGGGTTGAATCCAAATAATGAACTCTGGAAGGTGAACTATGTATTAAACCAAGCTGGGGCTCCTTCCCCACCTTCCTTCCTATAAATGGCCATCACCTAAAAATGCAGGTTGACCGGTAACCATAATATCAATAGATGATAAAAATTAATAAAAATTATGTGAATATATCCATGTATATTATATTAGGGATGTTAGAGCGTGAAAAATAAGATTTTTAAAAATCTGATTATTGTAAATATTTAATGGAGCATATATTTTATTGTAAGATGTTTAATTGTATGGATTTAATATTGCTATTTAAAAATATATTTATGTACCTTTTTTCCTTTTTGCAGAATGATCTTTACTTTATCAAGAAGGCTAACAGTAAAAATTATGATGAAAAACAGGCTCTCACGGCCAAAATAAATGAACTAAACCTTTTCAATGACAGATCAGAGAAAGAACTTAATAAAGCTCAAGCTTTTAAACAGGTGCAGTAAAATCACATGAATATATAATATTAAAAACCACATGTTTTCAGGCTACTTACAGAAAAATTTAAAAATGTAGCAAATTTTAAAAGAGACAATAAGTCCCTATAATTACTGTATACAAGATAAACAGTATTAAAGTATATTATTACCTTCCAGTCTCAAAAAATTTGCTATATATATTGTATTTAAGATTTGTTAATATATTGTACATGTTTCCAAAACATTAAATATTCCTTAAAAATACTTTTGAAGTCTTCCTACAGTCCATTGCATGAAATTACTATGATTTACTTAGCCATCTCCTATTTTTTGGATTTATGCTTGTTTCCAATGCTTGGCTGTTTTAAATAGTATTATCATATTCTATGCACATATATCATTGTAGAGTTGTTCAGTTAGCTCCTTAGGATAAATCTCTAGCTGTATAATTAAGGTTGGAAAGAATGAATATCTTCAGTGTCTTGAAATGATTTTTAAGCCAAATTGTCTTCTAAAGGGTTAAATTAATACTCCCAGTAGCAACGTGTAAGCATTCACCATCACCAAAGCTGGATCTTATATAGTTTATAAAATTGTTGTCAATTTGATGGTCAAACATGGTATCTCATTGTTTTTAGTCTGCATTTAAAAAATTGGTGACATTTTGAAACATATGTAAACATGAAATTTAAAATATTTATGTTTAAATAAAAATATTTAAAACATTTTTATTATTATACTGTGTTCCATAATTTTTATGTTCTTGGCCCATAGTCCCATTAGGAGGTTTATATTTTTAAATTGCTTTGCAAAAGATCTTCATATGTAAAAATATTAATTCTATCATAAATAGTGCCAATAGGTTTTTCCATTGTCTTTGAATTTTTATTCAGTTTTTTGACATTAAAAACTTTTAAAACATCACACATTTAAGTGCTTTTCCCTGTATACATTTATTTAGAAACTTCTTTGTCACCCTAAAATTCAAATAAATGTTTTCTATTTCCAGTAAGTGCATTGGTTTTATCTTTTGCGTTAAATTTCTTCATTCATCTGTAATTTATTTTTGATACATACGGAATAAGTTATGTTTTCAAGTTTGAGTTTTGTAGCAATAATACAGAAAAATATTTTGGTTTGGGTATAAAAATATTTCAATATTTGACAATGTTGTTAATGTTGATAGAGTTTGATGATAGAAGACAATCTCTTAAAACTTGAAGTTAAACGTACTCGTGAAATGCTTCACAGTAAAGCAGAAGAAGTTCTTTCTCTGGAAAAAAGGAAACAGCAATTACAGACAGCTATGGAAGAACGAAATGAAGAAATTAAGGTTCACAAAACAATGCTTGCATCACAAATAAGATATATTGATCAGGAACGGCAAAACATAAGGTAATAATTAGAATCTTCACACCCTGCTAATGAATTTTGAAAACATAACAGTTTTTTTTGCTTCCTTTCCTTTCTTTATTACTTTTCTTTTTCTTGCATTATTGCCCTTGTTGGAACTAACCTCCAGTTCACTGCTGAATAGCAGTGGTGATTGCAGGTACCTTGTCTTGTGCCTGATCTCAAAAGGAAAGTCTTCATTGTTTTACCATTAAGTATGAAGTTTACCATAGAGGTTTTTTTAGATACTCTTTATAATATTAAGGGCATTCCCATATATTTTCATTTTATGCTAAGAGATTGTTTTAATTTGTTTAATCTGGAGTGGATGTTGAATTTTCTTGTATGCTTTTTCTGCATTCATTGATGTGTAGCTCCTTCAGTCTGTTAATATAATTAAAAATACTGATTGATTTTTTAAAGTTAAACAACCTTACATTTCTGGAATAGACGCAGCTTGTCTGACACATTGTATTTTGTATGAGTCTAGTTTTTTGGGGTAATATTTTTATACAATTTTTCATCTCTGCTTATTCTTCGTTTTCTATGGCCTTTGTCAAGTTATCAGGCTATTAAGGTTATGTCCACTTCTATAAAGTGATTTTTGTGTGTTTCTTATTTTTCTGTATTCTGGATAAGTTTGTAGAAGAGTAGGAATTTTCAAAGACCTCACTGACAAAGCCATTGGAGGCCTGGAGCTTTGTGAGGAGGATTTTCAACTGTTGGTTCAGTTTATTTGTTGAATAAATAAATAGGACAGTGCATTTTGTACTTTTTCATGAGTTGTTTTTTGTAAATTATATATTTTTCTAGTAAAATTTTTCCATTTCCTGTAATTTTCAAAGTTATTGCCATAAAGTTGTTCACAATATTTTATTATTTGTTTCATAGCTGCAATGTTTCTGGCATTTCATTCCTTACTTGCTTTATCTGCCGCTTACCTTTGCTTGGGTGGGATAAGTCTTGCAAGTAATGAATTTTATTGGTTTTTGAAAAGAAGTAAAGCTTGATTTTTTCCTGTGAGCTCATTTTCTATTTTATTAATTGCTGCTTTCACATTCACTATTTTTCCTTCTATTTTTATGGGCTTATTTTGATTTCCTTTTTCTAACTTCCTGAGATAGATGCTTAGCTAATTAATTTTCAGATTTGAAGGCTAAAATAATTCCCTTAAGTGTTTCTTATTTTTCTGTACTCTGCATAAGTTTGTAAAAGAGCAGGAATTTTAATTGCTTTAGCTGCATCCCACACCATTTTCTATAAGGGTCAGATACTAAATATTATAGGTGTCGCAGGCCATATGGTCTCTTTTGCAACAACTTAATCCTGCCATTATAGAGTAAAAGCAGCCACAGACGATATGTGAATAAATGAGCATGGCTGGCTGTGTTCCAGTAAAACTTTATGGGTACTGGAATTTGAATTTCATAGAATTTTCATTTTCCATAGATTATACTTTTTCTCTAGATTTTTTCCAACCATTTTGCATTTAAAAATATGAAAATCATTCTTTGCTCATGAACTGTACAAAAACAGGAGGCAGGCAGACACCCCGGCTCTTTATTGCTGAGTAATAATATTACACTGTGTGCATCTACTCCGATTTAGTGCACATTTACCTGTTGTTAAACATTTGAATTGTTTCCAGTTTTTGGCTATTACAGATAAAGCTGCTATGAACATATGTTTTCTTGGTATGAACAGAGGCTTTCTTTTCTCTTGGGTAAATACCTAGAAGTGAAACATCTGGATCATATGGTGGGTATTTCTTTTTGTCTTCACTTTTTTTTCACTGGTTTTACTGAATTTTGTTTTTCTCTCTTTTCTTCTTTCGTTATTTGGAGGGTATGTATTCTAATTTTAATTATTTTATTGGTTATTCTTAAATTCAAAAGAAACTTAAATCTTCCTATTTTTCTATGAATACTTAAGATTAATTTGATTTTATTATTTTTTGTTTCCCAAAAGAGGTTAAGACTCTTAACATGTTTCTTTTGTGTTTTTTTAAAAAAATTTCTTTATTGCTGAAACTATTACAGATGTCCCCTTTTCCCCCATTGATCCCCTCCAGCCTGCACCCCCAGGCCTTCCCCACGCTAATGTCTGTGTCCGCGGGTTATGCATTGATGCAGAGAAGGCCCTTGATTAATCTCTCCCCACCCCTCCCGCCTTCCCTCTGAGATCCCTGTCCCAGGGACTCTCAGCATGTCTCACTACTGCGTTTCCCGTCCCCACCCTTCACGTATTATTGAAATCACTGATTATCATATCAGGTTGTTATTTATAGTTTTTTAATATTATTGCTCTACTTTTCAAAGAGCTGCTTCCTTACAACGCGCTTTGAACGCGGCAGCCGGTTCCCAGCAGCCGTCTCCATCTAGCCACGTGTTTTACTTTGTAGTCTTGGTTTAGTATCTTTCATGTGTCCTTGTCATCTTATTTTCTTGGGTTTCCATTTCATGTCTCCAGAGTATGTCCTGACATTTTTTCCATTATTGATGTTCTCTGAAAAATTTGAGCCCTTGCATGTTTAAAACGTATTTACTCCGCCCCCCATTTGAATTAGTTGAACTCGGGAAGCCTCGTTTCACATTCCTCTGGAGTGCAGTGTTGTTCACGAGGCCTGGTTTCGGGCTCATTCGCCTTCTTTCGTAGGGAACTTGGCTTTTGTTTTCTTTCTGGAAGCTTGGGACAGTCTTTTTACCATGGGCTTTAGAATTTTCCCGCATGTGCCTGTGTGTTCTCTCTGTTTTTCTTGTTTGACCCTTCACGAGCTCTTCCAGTTATTTCGTCGAAGCCTTTCTTCAGGTCAGGAAAATACTTTTCTATTACTCCTTTCATTTTTTTCTCACCTCATGCTCTATCCTACCCATTTGTTGCTCATTTTTAGTGATGTTGTTCTTAGATCTGTCTTAACGTCCAGATTTTTGAACTTTCCTCCCACTTTAAATTTTCTATTCCTTTTATTCCGCTTTTGAAGATATTTTCATTGTCTCCCTGTCCCCTTTCCCGTCTCCTCCTTGTTCCCTGCCCCTCTTTCTCCATATCTCTAACTCAGTCTTTTTCTTCACTAGTTTTATAAATGTCAACTGTAATGAAAAATAAGTTAAATTGAAACGGGGAAATTATTGGCAAGAACTCTCGTCCCTTCGTTTCCTTTCTTCCCGTGGCGCCCGCTCTCGTCGATGGGTGTCTTGGGTGCAACAGCCTCTCGTCTGTCTGAGGCTCCTGAGGAGAGCGCCGGGAGCTTCCCTGCTGCCCCGGGCATTGTCTTTGTTTCTCCTAGTGTCCATCCTGTCATCGCTCATTTTGTTCCTTTTGTTCAGGCTGTTTATTCCATAAATGTCTGATAGTCCTAGGCTTTCTGTTACATTTACTTAAAAGGGCTTAATTAATAACCATGGTGATTTGTAAAATGATCTTGCATGGGCTTCTTCTGCAACTAGGTAGATCTGTTTCTCCAGCAGATCTCTACTCTAAATGGGAGGCTGATTGTAGGCTCTGGGTGAGTCTGTCCCTAAAGGAGTTTATTTGGTGGGGGGGTGGAGCCATACTTTATTCCTGGGTAGAATTGCCTTTCTTTCTTAATTAATGTCCACTCTTGTCCAGGCCAGGGAATGACATCACACTCTTTTTTTTATACCCCCAGTTCCCACATACAACACTAGAACTCTGGTAATTTGGGGGGTTATCACTGGTGCATAAACAATTTCTGCCAACATCCCTGTATACTTCAGGGGGTTGAGGAGAGTGGCTCAGAAGTTCTGTAGGCAATTCTTTTGTTAATTACCTTGATAATAGCCTCAGAGATTACTATCTCTCTTTTTATTTCTTATTCCTGAGTTTGGATATTCCCCAGATTTCTTTGGTGGCAATGTTTCTTGTTTCTGCATTTATCTGTATGTCTCTCTGTTTTTCCTGTCAATAGTATCCCATTTGTTTTCAATTTTTTCATGAACTCAGTGGTGTGCAGATGTGTCTTTGAGAACCTGTTTTCAATTCTTTTGGGTATATACCCAGAAGTGGGATGGCTGGATCATATAGCAGTTCTATTTTTAATTTTTTGTTTTCTATAGTGGTTACACCATTTTATAGTCCCACCAAGCAGTGCTTAGGGGTTCCGATTTCTTCACATCCTTGCCAGTACTGTATTTTGTTTGTTTTTCTTTGACAGTAGCCCTCCTAATGGGTTAAGGAGATATGTCATGTGGTTTTGATTTGCATTAGACTATCATTTAAAAGATGTTTGGATAGTGAACAACCTCAGAATCTAGAGGTAGTATCTTCCTCTGGAGCAAAGGTTAGGCATGCTTGCTTATTTCCTATTATAAAATATTTAGGTTACCTAAGTGTGAGGTTCCTCAGCTGTGATATACACCTATTGTGTGTGCAGCGTTCATTTGAGCCCCTCCTCGCCTGTGTGGTACTTGGAGAGCAAGGGAAACCAGTGCATATAGGAGGCTCATGCCATGAGTGAAAAAGTGCTTTTTCTCTGACCCAGGAATCTTATGTCTTCTGCCAGCATCCATGAAACTGTGCAGGATAACTTGTTACCTTCCAAATAGGGTGAAATCCAGACCCTTCGCACTGAATTATAAAACTGAAAAGTGAGAACATTTAATCTGATGGCAGTAGTCACACAAATACCACTGTCTCCCATAGGAACCCCATAGTCCTTTTCAAAAAGTGTTTGTTTTTCAGTGTTTAATTTTTCCTTTCCTTTTCTTTCCATGNCAAATAGGGTGAAATCTAGACCCTTCGCACTGAATTATAAAACTGAAAAGTGAGAACATTTAATCTGATGGCAGTAGTCACACAAATACCACTGTCTCCCATAGGAACCCCATAGTCCTCAAATAGGGTGAAATCTAGACCCTTCGCACTGAATTATAAAACTGAAAAGTGAGAACATTTAATCTGATGGCAGTAGTCACACAAATACCACTGTCTCCCATAGGAACCCCATAGTCCTCAAATAGGGTGAAATCTAGACCCTTCGCACTGAATTATAAAACTGAAAAGTGAGAACATTTAATCTGATGGCAGTAGTCACACAAATACCACTGTCTCCCATAGGAACCCCATAGTCCTTTTCAAAAAGTGTTTGTTTTTCAGTGTTTAATTTTTCCTTTCCTTTTCTTTCCATGTTAGTGCTGACTTTCATGAGCGGCTAAGTAAAATCGATAAGCTGAAGAGCAGATATGAAATCCTCACGGTTGTCATGTTGCCTCCTGAGGGAGAAGAGGAGATGACACAGGCCTACTATGTGATCAAGGTAACCTCAGTTGAGTTACAGTTGTGATAGGGACAAGCGTCCTTTCTTTGTTAACCAAAGTGGCTTTGCTTTTTGTCCATGAAATTTCAAATTTCATAGCACTCTAGTAACTATTGCACTTCATTAGGGCCATAAAACATTAGTTGCTAACAGAAGTACTGAAGCTGTATTAGTTTTATACACCTCCAGTCCATGAGGCCCGAGAAGGATCTGGACTACCCTTAGACACTTTTTTTTTTCTTTCCATCTTTGTGTTGTGTCATTTTCCCTCATTTATTCAAGATTCATAATCTATTTTACCCTAAGACCTACTATTTCTATGGATATCTTTAGCATACATGTGACAGTCTGTTCAATACCTTCGGCGCAAAGCTCTGACTTCCCTGTAGCCGCCCGCTCATATGGCCAGCCCCTAGATGTTATCATCACCTGGAGTTACCCCACTTCTGAAATCTTATACCCCGGTTTACCACTGCAGTCCCGGGAGGGCAGAGAGCCAGAGAGGAAGAGGGGCTGTCCCTTCGCCTTCAGATTAGGTGGGAGACAAGTGAACAGGTGACTCTGCTCCGTTCTTTCTGACGTTCGGGAGTCGTCTGCTATCTCACGGGTATCTGTACCGGGTAACCCATAATGGAAAGTTTGGAGGTGATTAGGGATTGGATGCAACTCCCTTCCTGAACACTACTATATTCATCTTCCCATGTGAAAAGTACCCGAACAGGCGTGATTTCCTTTACAGAGCTTAGGAACTTACTCGAAACACCGCAAAGGAGGAATGGAGGCTGTAACTGTAACTCCTCCCTGAATGGTACATGGACAGGAGTGGGCGGATCTCCCAGTTCACACCTTTAGATGTGGGCCCTTGTGGGCGTTCCCTCCCTTTCAATTTATACGTAATCTGACAAGTTTCTTCCTGTAGTCTTCTGGGGCTGCCCCTAACACATACGGTAAGTGTGACATCCTGCCACTTTGCCTCAGAAAATTCTACCTAACCAGTAAGAGAAATGAGTCCCAGCTCTCAAACCGTTTTTATAACTCATCAGTCTGTAGTACCTCAGGGCTGTATCCTGTCCAGTATCCTCAGGACTTCCCTCTTCTCAGGTTTTGAAAGTTCCTAAGGGGTAAGAGATAAGGGATAGGCTCTAGTTTGTTAATTGTTGGGTTTTTTGTTTGTTTCTAATATATCCTTTATTGATTTCAGGGAGAGGAGGAGAGAAAGAGAGAGAGAGAGAGAGAGAAACGTCAATGAGTCATTGACTGGCTGCCTCCTTGTTTTTGGTCCTGCAATAGGTTCTTGTCTGTGGGGCACACAGGTTTTTTTGTTTTTCTTTTCCCCCACCCTAGTATCTTCTAGTATTTGACTCTTAAGAGTCAGACTGAAAAATATGATCGGTAGCCAGTGAAGGGCTGGCATATTTCAAATCTCATTTCCAAGTTCCTTTTCGTCCTTGTAGTAGTTCAGTTCCGACAATTTAACAAAACTGTCCAGTGAAATTGCTAGAAAAAGGTTTTAAAATGTTCACATAAATGTATCCATAAAAATTTCTTCCAAGTATCACTTTATAATCCAGGATAAAAGGTATACATTATATAAACTCTGATTTAGAGGCAAATGGGATCAGTTTTAGAAGTTTAAGGTATATGTGGAATTATATCAGAAATCTGTATAAATGAACAAATTCAACCCTTTCACTTGACAAATAAACTGAACTCAGAGAAGGGAATTATTTAATGTTACCTCACCATCAGTAGTAGGACATCTGCACCTAAAATCTAGCTGTTTTGATGATCCCAGCTCTCCCTCTACACTGTATTTGGAATGAAATCATTGCCAATTCTAGACTCAAAGGAATTAGATATGATTTATTTTAAAACTTTAATTTTGCTAAGTGTTTTTTACTATGTACTATTTGCTACTATTTTCTTGTACTATCTTTGCTAAGCTTTTTTTACTATGTACTATTTGCTATTTTCTTGTATTATTTTTATTGTGTACTATTATGTACTACAATGTTGTTTTTTTTTAAATATATCTTTATTGATTTCAGAGAGAGGACAGGAGAGGGAGAGAGACAGAAACATCAATGATGAGTCACTGATCGAGCCCGCAACCCGGGCATGTGCCCTGACCAGGAATCGAACCCCGATCACCTGGATCCTAGGTCGACGCTCAACCGCTGAGCCACGCCCGGCCGGGCATGTACTATAATGTTATACATATTTTTGTAGCATAGTAAAACAAATACCAGAGAAAGCATTAAAAATTGAAACATTACCAAAATTTTCCCCCAATGACCATATTCTGCTTTAAATATTCCTAGGGATTGAATAAATTAACAAATGAAATTATTAGTTGATTTTGACTAAGAATGGATTTGGGGCACTTTTAAATATATCTGCATGCTATCCCTGTTAACTCTTAATTGAGAGGTTCTTTGGAATTGTTTGGGTACAACTCTAGAGAGCCTCGCCCAGCGACAGGTAAGATGGAGAACGTCACTATGTCCACTCACTGAGGAATTTCTGGTTTGCAGCAATTAGTAAACTTCTTTTCTACCCACATTAATCGCAATTATCTTCTTCTAATTAAAAAAATTTTTTTTAATGTGTTAAAATATACAAAAAATTGGCCACTTTAACAATTTTAAGTGTACAGTTCAGTGGTATTAAGTATATTCCTATTGTTGGGCAACTACCTCCACTGCCCATCTCCAGAGCTGTCTCCCCTTCTACAGCTGACACCGTACCCATTTACAGTGACTCCCGTCCCCCTGCCCAAACCCTAGCAGTGACCATTCTGTCCCCTGAATTGGGCTACGGGTACTTCATGGAAGTGGCATCATGCAGCCTTTTTCCTTTCAAAAATGAGGAACACTTCACTAATTTGTATCATTCTCGAGTGGGGGCCACACTAATCTATGGTTCCAATTTTAGCTTGTGCTACTGAAGTACTTTCTCTAAGTTTAACATTGCTTGACTGCTCAGTAATGTGGAAGTATTCCTTCCAGTAACACATAAATATAACTGTGTGGGAAATAAGCATTACTTTCCTAGGAGCACCTTGCCTCACCTCTTTTACTCCTAAGATATGAGAAAGTGTTCCTAAGCCTCTTTCAGGCCAGAAACATACATTCTATTTAGTATCTACTTTGAAATCTTCTAGGCCACTCTGTTTCCCTTCCCAGTGAAGTTTAGACCTGCTTAAATTTTTGGTAACTTTTGTTGGAGCTTTATGTAAGCTTTGGTTAGTTGCTGCATTTCCATCATGGTTTTGTATCCTCTGTGCTGTACTTTGTAGGCCTTGCGGATTTGCTCTTCTATAAATCAAGTGAAATAAATAAATGGTGTTTTATGTGGACCTCAAGGCAAGTTGGTATTATTGTGAGTTAACTATTTCCTGAAGTCAAACATTCTCCCCCCTGAGAAACTTTTATTTAATCATTCTATTCTGTATTTATAGGCTGCTCAAGAGAAAGAAGAACTTCAAAGGGAAGGTGACAGTTTGGATGCTAAGATCAATAAAGCTGAAAAAGAAATCTATGCTCTAGAAAACACCTTGCAAGTGCTGAGCAGCTGCAACAACAATTACCAAAAATCTTTTCAAAAAGTCACTCCATCTAGTATGTAGGAGTTAACATAATATATGCAATGAAAGCTGTATAGTTGTTTATTTTTTAAATATGTCTTTATTGATTTCAGCGATAGGAAGGGAGAGGGGGAGAGAAACATCAGTGATGAGAGAGAGTCATTGATCGGCTGCCTCCTGCATGCCCTCCACTGGGGATCGAGCCCACAACCCGGGCATGTGCCCTGACCAGGAATTGAATCGAGGTCTCCTGGATCATAGGTCAATGCTCAACTGCTGAGCCAAGCTGATCAGGCTATAGTAGGTTTTTTTTTTTTAAAAAGGAACGCTGTGAGACATGGAAAACAAAAATGTTACCATGTTTGATTGAGTCAGGACCCCCTACCCCTTAAAATAAGTGCTAAAGTGTTATTTCCATTATTAGTTCTAATGATACAGCATATCACTTCTCTAGGGGATTAATTTTAAGTCTGCAGAAAATAGCACATTAGCTGCTCTGTGTCTACTAAACAAGAGCGGCTACTACATACACACATACTGTTTTTCAACAAGTAGACATAAGGAATTTAACCTGTCATAAGAAATGTTATGTTTAATGTAAGAGGTTAAGATTGCTTTCTACAGAGTATGTTAAAAATTTAAACTAAAAATTCTTTAAATTCTAGGTCATGAGTATGAACTAAAAATCCAACTAGAAGAACAGAAAAGAGCTGCTGATGAAAAATACAGATACAAACAAAGACAAATCAGAGAGCTACAGGAAGATATCCAGGTAAAGTCTACAGTCCATAGTAGAAACCAACTACCATTATGTCTACTTTCTTGTTACCGTGTACAAACAATTTTTTAGAAAAGTAGATTGTAAGAGATAAGTCTCATTTAAATGAGAAAAAAAGTGATTAAAGCATTAAAATAGTTAAAAATCCCAGTGGTAAGCACAGGACGGACTCCTGATCATCACTTGTTAATTAGTTGATAAATCACTGCTAGTTAATTATGACTTATTCCTCTATCCTTTATTTAATGTACTTTTATTTTCATTTAATTCCTTAAAGATCACCTTAAAGATTGCCTCATAAAAAAAAAAACAACCAAAAAATTGAAAGATAAAAATAATCAAGTACAAAGAAGTTACTAAAGCACATAACTGAAAGAGAAAACAGTGTGCTTGGTAAGCAGGCCCTACATAAAATGTAGATTTTTTTGTTTTTCTAATAAAGTTGAAGGAACAGAGGAATTGTGAATCTCTGAAAATTGCATGCATGCTTTCAATGGTTATTGTTTATTTTTCCAAGTACCATAAAAATACTTTCCAGTGGAATTATATACAAAACTTAATCCATAAAACCATTATATATATTACTTACCAGTAGGATGTATACTAAATATACAAATAAATGAATTAGGGTCAAATGAATACTGGCAAGTTATAAAAGTTATTTTTGATTCTAATAAATGTTTTAATAATTTATTTTCTGCAGAGCATGGAAAATACTTTAACAGTTATAGAACATTTAACAAATAACGTCAAAGAAAAATTATTAGAGAAGGAGGCTCGTTCACTTCAACTAAGTAGAGAAATTGAGGACCAGAAGCCAAAATTAGAGAGAGTAACTAAACAGGTATTGATATTTTAAAAAAACTGACCTGTCATATTTACATTTTTTGAAGTTCCATATGGTAAACCCAAATCCTCCTCCATCCATTCAAAATATTAAGTTCTGGAAAATAGGTTTATATAATAATTGACTACTTTGACCAACAGTGTGCAAAACTCACCAAGGAAATCCGTCTTTTAAAAGAAACAAAAGACGAAACACTAGAAGAAGACGACATCAAGCTCCGTGAATTGAAAGAGTTTCACAAGAGCATCGATGGAATGTTAGTCGATGTCACAGGACATGCTGAGCTCCATGCTATCCTTCAAACATACTTTCAACAGGTAGTAACTGTACCCTCTATTAATATATTTCTTAAACACTTCATGAAAATAACTTATGGCATTCATTAGAGTGAAACCTAGTTAAAAATATTCTCCTTCTGAAATGCAGTGGTGCTAATGATCGCTATTGGATATTCTTCCAGAAAGGTTTGGAGCTGCCTGCAGCTCGCACTAAAGGGAGTGGTCAGAGCTCTCGATCTCCGTCGCAGACTTCACTGTTATCACTGAGGTAAGTGGGAGCTTAAAAAACCACGTCAGCTCACAGCTGCGGCCCTTAGAGAGCCCAGCCCCTGCCACGGGGCACAGCCGTCGGGGCTGCCAGTGCCCTCCTCACCCTCACCCGCCTGCCACTGTCAGAGGCAGACCCAGCCAGCCGAGCAGCTTTCTTTCCAACCTGTGTCTGGTGCCACCTTTTCCATTACTGCACAGAGTGCGCTGTGAACTACCAGCTAATTCAGTAGGATAAAGCAGGGTGAAATTTTAGAGGTTTCATCTAGAATGATCAACCCCGAGAGGGGGTATTTTTAACCATAAAACGGCAACTTAGATGTAGAGACATAGAGTATGATTTTTATTATTAAAACCACACTGTAAAATTTTAAAGTCAAGATTTAATTTATGTTGCTTTAATTTGCTAAAAAGGAAATTATTCCTTTTGCAGTTTAGTGTTACCCAGAATTCTATCATCAGGGATATTCAATCAATACCTGTGCTTCGCTGACAAAAATTAACGATGATCCTAATTTTTAAATTCCCAATCTCCTACCTTCAGCGGCCACTTAGTTTTTATTAATCCATGTAGGGATTTCACAAAGGCAAAGGAACATGCTAGAGGTTGGTGGGCAGCATTTGAATATTCCTTTACTCTCATAAAACATATATATATATGTATAAATGTGTGTTATATATAAGATCCTCACCGAGGATATATTTATTGATTTTAGAGAGAGAAGGGAGAGACAGACAGACATTGGTCAGTTGCCTCCCATACACACCCCGACCAAGAATCAAACCCGCAACCTAGGTATGTGCCCTGATGGAAACTGAACTGGAGACCTTTTGGCGTACAAGACAACGCTCTAACCAACTGAGCCACCCAGCCAGGGCAAACATATGTATTTTTTAGACTTAGCATTTCAGGATTATACAGCTAGTAATGATTTTCAAATGACCCCACTATTTTTTCCTGTAAACAGTTCTCTCACTTTCTTCTCTTATATCATCTATCATTTTAATCACTTTTGCCAGTACCCGAATTCACATGCCCCTCTTTTTGTTACATTTTATGCTTAATGAATTTTGCAAATCCTTAGTGCTTAATGACTCTTATCTCTAAATTAATTATAGTTGAAAACATTTTTCTTATGGACATATTTGTTAAACTATTTTTCTACTGGTTTAAAACTGTCATGTTCATTACTGCTTTTCCTTTTTTAAAAAAACCTAATTTCTTGGTATTAATGGTCATGCTTTAAAATTTATTATTAGCACTATTAATATCGGCTACTTTTTGCTAATTACTTGTGGGATTATGGAATCTTTCACTATTAATGAGGGGAATCTCTATTAAAATATAAATATTGAATTAAATTTACAATAATTGTTTTTTTCTTCTAGGTCATCTAGTTGTACAAGTACTTCTGCTTCTCAGACTTCGATTAAAGTGTTAGAGCTAACCTTCCCAGCCTCTTCTTCGCCAACCAACAGCACTGTTAGGCCAGCCAGTGCTAGCAGTAGTTCCAGTAGTAAAAGCAAAAAGAGCAGCACGTAAACATTTTAATCTCTTTTGAACACATTATAAACACAAAAAAACAAAAATTTCACTTTTAAAATAGTCAGTTCCACTCTATGCTTTTGGGTGCTGTATGATCATATAGAGTTCTACTGAAATAGTTAGAAAATGAAATGACCAGACAAGTTTTATCCAGTGGAAAATGTAAAAACTGGTAGTTAAAAGTCAGGCCAACAAAATGTTTAATTTTCTTACCCTTTTTCCTATTATCTTCTTCACATAGAAGGAAAGCAGTAATACCTGATTTTAAGGTTACATTACATAAGCATAGGGAAAATGTTTTTCACTGTTATTTTTATGTCTTTTATAATAGAAAATAGTTCATTTCTTTATTATTTCATGCTAGCCATGCAACTACACTCAGAAGAAATTTTTAAAGATTCATAAAGAGTTGATAACACTACTGAAATTCTCATTTACCCTATAAGATCCTGAAATTAAGTTTTCTTTATCCAAAGAAATATACTTCCCAGACTTTTGGGGGAGAAATCTGTTAGTTTCTTTGGTATAAATAAAAAAAATTTAACCAAAAAATAGCATTACCCTCATCCCTCCACTGAGAAAACAATTGATGGGAAACAATGTACAATAAAAATGCAGCTCCAATTTTTAGGAATCACTTTAACTCTCATCTTGAAAAGAAGTCAAACACATGAAAGATTTGCTCTCAAGATAGACAACCAAGCATAAAGAATAAGAATGTATTTTCAATATTTTCTTGATTTAATAAACAATATAAAGAAAACTGGGTGTGATTTGATTTGTTATAGGAATGCTAAAATTTAGAGAAGATAGACCACCAGATATGTAATTAGTTACTCCAGTTAACATTTCCTTATAACATGTCCCCAACACTTTGAATTCCTGTAGTACTGTGGAGTATGAACACAATGTTATTAGTTTTCAAATAAATGTATTAGAATCTAAGCACTTAAATGAGTATGGTTTCCTTCAAACTTTGGAAAAAATATTTATAATTGTCATTGTTTAGGGCTGTCACCTGCAGTTTCTTCTGAAAGGCAGTAGTGGTATTAAGTCTGTTTGGCTGAAACACTGTTCTAATGCATGAGATTTTATAAGATCTAAAAACTGATTAATCTTGTAGTCGCTTTGTAAATTCTTATTCTCTGTCCTATGTTACTTTGTAAATTACTTGGAACTTAAAATAATACTTTACATACTTTTCTATGAAGGCAGGGATCGTATCTTACTAGCTCTGTGATCTTGGGAGTTAGTTTTCTACGCCTTTTTTTCACTTGTAACATAGGCACTGTAAGTTACCTACATAAACGTTTACGGAAATGATCAGATTATACAGAATGCACATGGCCTGATACATAGGATCTGCACAATAACTTCTGCCTGTTATTGAGTTACCACCCAGAGCCTAGCACAGTATCTGTGGATTAGGCTCTCCAGCCAGCATAGAAGTCTGGTGTTTTGTTTTTTTTTTTTTAAATATATCTTTATTGATTTCCGAGAGAGGAAAGGAGGGGGAGAGAGAGAGATAGAAACATCAGCGATGAGAGAGTCATTGATCGAGCCCGCAACCTGGGCATGTGCCCTGATCGGGAATCGAACCCTGATCGCCAGGATCCTAGGTCGATGCTCAACCGCTGAGCCACGCCCGGCTGGGCAAAAAGTCTGTTAAATAAAGTGGAAGTCCCAACTTCAGTGTAACAATGCTAAATGATGAGACTAGGGATCAACCTCGTTATCGCGGCATCTGGAGTTACCTTAACATCCACTTACTTTAAGTCAGTCATCTACTATGGAAACCAAGACACAGCCTGGGTATGTATAGACTATAAACGCTAAGGAAAAAAACTGAAGATACCACTAGGGACTCTTGAGGAGTGTATCCCCAATATTCTTTTTTGCTGTGATGGGTTTCCTGAATACATCCTTAGAAACTGGCATGTGTATACTTTAAGTTTACTTTGTCCCAGGAAAGCAGCCCCGAGGAAGATGGAAAAGAGACATCGGGGAGAATTGGGAGGGAATACCAAAAAACTCCCAAAACCATAAATGGAGTAACTCTTTCACTGCTAAGAATTTTTTAAACAGGAAAAGGTACTTTATTTTTCTCTAATTAGAACACTTATTCTTAAAACTGTCAGCAAGGTACACTTAAGTACAACCGGATGCAAAGACATTCTTTTTTTTTCAGGTTCTCCCCCCCAGCTATTTATCCCCTCTATGCCCTCTTCCACCATGCCCCCCAAATCTCCACACTGCTGTCCATCTCCATGAGTTCTTCTCTTTTTTGCTCAATCCTCCCACTCCCTAACCCCCACCAGGGCTGTCTGCTTGTCATGAGTCTGTCTCTTACTTTGCTTGATAGTTCAGCTTGTTCATTCAATTCCACATATGCAAAGATATAATTCTTACACTGAGATGACTATCAAAAACAGAAGCAATCAAGTAACTGAAAAGTGAGTAACTTACTGTGATTTCCAAGTGGGATATATCTCTCATGATGTTGGTTGGCATGGGTGGGGTCCTTTTTCAAATGTTAAGAGAGATATCAGTGGGCATGGTGAGACTGATTGGTATTTGGGGCTTAGTTTTTCTAGATGAATGTATTCTTTATTATTTATTTAGTATTTGGCATTAGATACTTGCATATGGATAATTTAGAAATAAATTCTTGGCCTATTTATAACATTGCAGTAATTGAATGTGATTTGTACATTATAAGATACTTTGCCCAAGATGTCTAGTCCTGAATTTGAAATGATGTCACTTTAAAAGGTTTGATATTTGCTATCAAGGAAAATGAAAAGGAAAAAAAGCAGAAGGTATCAGAATGGATAACAGATACAAACTTTGGAGAATTCACATTTCATTTTCATTGGAATTCTCATTACTGGAAAAACTTTTGTTTCATTTTTTAACAAGTGCAAAATATCTTTTTGTTTTATCATTCATACTTATAGTTACTAAAATGAATTGCAAATTACATGAGATTTTAGTTTTTGAACTGAATCAAAAAACTTATAGTGTTTGGATGCAGAAATGACTTACAATTGAAATCCTTACTTTAACTTAAGACTTGACGGTACTAGTTGACTTTTTAAGTTTATGTCAGCTTTTAGTTACTTATAGTGAACTAGGATAAAAGACCCTTATCACCAAAGAATGTAACGGTCTATTTGTTTTAAAATATTTCTCATTGCAGGTTCTTTGTCCATTAAGAGATGTGACTTCTCACAGTAACCATGGGGAAGAAAAGCAGAATTGCAGGCCAGCTCTAGACTATTTAAAAACATACCTAGTGTGTTCCAAAATGAACATCTGCAATACTAGGAGTTTCTGCATTTTCTTTCTTTTTAGAGAATCAGATTTATAGTGTACTTCTCTAGCCATTGCTATATTTTTACTAAAAGGATTCTTTTCTATTCTGATCTATTCTTGCCTGAAATGTAGTCTCTAAAGTCTTGCCAATGTTTAAAGTTAAAAAATTTCTTAGGGCTATACTGCTAAGCAATGAGGTAGGTAGGTAGGTAGGTAGGAAGAAATGAGGAAAATGGGCCCCTATTAAATTTCCATGGCTTTATTCCTAAGGTGCTTGTTAAGCTGGTACAAAATCCTTTTTAATTGAGTCAGGCTTTAGAAGCCAATTAGACAAGTTAGATAATCTGTCTACCAGTTTAAAACAAAAGTTATGTAAAAATTTACTTAAACAAATGATAAATATGAAATGGTACTTAAAGAATATTTAAATATATCTCTTTCAAAAGCTGAGGGCTTTTAACAAAAAAGAGAATGAAATAATCTTTGATGAAAACAATCCAAATGTTCAGTGCACAAATTTAATTTTCTCTCAAACAGCAGGATAAGGGAGACCCAAGGAATTCTTATACACCATGATACAACGAAGAAACAATACTTTGAGAATTATCTTTAAGTCTAAATCATCAGAGTGAAATACTGTACATAAACATATATATGAAAACCTACAAATCAAGCTGTGAAAGGGGACCTACAATGAAAATATAGTTTGAGAATAGCTAAAAAGCACTTGCTTTATGCCATCTCCACAAATAAAATAACTTTAGGAGCAGATATTTCTGCACTGGACTGTTATGACTAAAAGACCCAAAACTTTTAACAGCCTTTAGTAAGGTAGTGCTGATTCCCTTCGCATATTAATTTTTTTGCTTATTTCCTTTTTCTTTCTCAAATGCAGCTATCTGATTAAATATATTGAGTAAGTTTTGAGGTAAATTTTTTTTAACTCCGCTTTCTGAATGCCCTTTGCTACTTGGTTCATCTTCTTCTGGAACCTCTGTTTCAATATCCTCCTCATAATTATCCTCTCTTTCATATTCTCTCTGATTTTTACTTAACTGGTATCTTTGCTCATGTCTACTGAAATCACGGGATCCAGAATAATTATATTTTTTGTATTTTTCAACTGACTTAGAAGAGTAGTCAGCGCTTGCTGGTGAAGTGGAGCACCTCACGGAACCTGGTTCCCACTTTCTATAGTGCTCTTTTCTTCCCTCTGTATCTTTCTCAAATTTTCTATAACCATAATTTTTTAATTTGTCTTCTGGATTCCTAGAGAAGGAATCTGAGGAATCTCTTCTAGTGGAAAAATGTCTTTCATATTTATATGGCTTTTCTGTTTTGCTACTACCTGCCTGAGTTTTAGAGCTATTATAAAAATCTCTTGGATCTTCAGACCTACCTCCAAAATCATCCGGAATTTCAACTGAAGATGAAGCGACAGGGCACCTATCTTTCTCTTTTGCCTGTTTCTTTTGGTACGGTGCCCTATCTTGCTTTTCCAATAGTTTTTCCACTTCTTGTCTTTGGTTAAGAAAAGATGCTGACGGGTTGGCTGGAACTGGGAAGTACTCATCTTTCCTATTCTGATCTATCTGATTTGAGGATGCCTTAGCTGAATGCCTTTTAGAACTTCGAGAAGACTCGGAACGGTTCCTCTTATGTTTCTTATGCTTTTTGTGACCAGAAGAGGAAGAGGATGAAGAAGAAGAAACCGACTCATCACCAGAAGAAACACTTGAAGAGGAAGAGGTTGATTTTCTTCTTTTCTTCTTTAGCCTAAAAAAGTAGTTAATTCACCAGATGTTAAGTACAAAAATGTTTCTTAATTATCATAAGGATTTTAGTTCTCTTTTGTTGCCCTTAAAGATTTTGTGAAAGCTGTGGCTTAGATAAGCAATCATAATCATCTTAGTTACCATAAGACACAATTTTAGCATCAAGCACTACTTTTGGGGGGGGAGAACTTGTGTAGATAGCTGTCACTCTAAGCAAATCCATTTCTGCTCAGCACAATGACATTTCCAACATTTCCTTAAAAACAAGACCCACTGAACACATAAAGGAGAGAATTAAAATTTCATATCTGGCTACCTTGAGTATAGATCATCTCTCCATCTCAGCACTACTGACATTGTGTTGGGAGTGTAGGCTGGCAGTGTGGGGGCGGGGGGTTCCTACAACATCACTGTAGGAAGTCTAGCAGCACCCCTGAACTCTGCCCACTATATGCCAGTAGCACTCTACCAGTATGACAACCAGAAATGTCCCTGGGACAAAACTGCCCCCAGTTGAGACTCACTGTTCTATTTCTAAAACATTTCTCCCTAAAATACAGATAATTAAAATAACATTATATATTTTAAATTTAAGGTTACAGTAATTCTTTCCCCCCACCGATTTCTAGTCTGAGAATTCCACTGTCTTTAACCTCTCACAGAAAAATTTCTGGTACTCATAATTGCTAAAAACTGATAATGATTTGAAATACTTTTATATTTTTACTTACTTTACCTTCACATGGCACTGTGGTTCAACTCAGTAGCTGCTTTAAGTAAAAAAATACTGAATGTTATAGTTTACCTTTTCTCCTCTTTTAAAAGCTTACGCAACTTTTCTGCACTTGTTTCTAT